CTCCATGCTGAGTGTGGAGCCCGATGCAGGGCTTAATTCCATGACCCTGAGATCATGACTTGAGCTGAAAACCAAGAGCTGGGCACTCAACCAACTGAGCCACCCAGGCGCCCCACCACTTTTTGCCAGTTTAATTACTATGTGTTTTGGTGTGGACCTCCTCGGGTTGATTTTGCTGGGGACTCTCTGTGCCTCTTGTGTCTGGATTTCTGTTCCTTTCCCAGTTTTGGACAGTTTTCACCTATTCTTCAAATGAATTTTCTCCTCTTTTCTCTCCCTTCTCCTTCTGGGATCTCTATAATGCAGATGTTATTATGCTTGATGGTGTCACTGAATTCCCTTAATCTATTCTCATTTTTTATTATTTTTTCTTTTGTTCATCTTGATTATTTTCCATTACTCTGTCCTCCAGTTCACTGATCTGTTCTGCTTCCTCCAGTCTACTGTTTATTCCCTCTAGTGTATTTTTAATTTCAGTTATTGAGTTCTTCATTTCTGATTGGTTCTTTATTTTTTTCCATCCCTTTGTTATGGGTCTCACTGAGATCCTCCCCTCTTTTCTCAAGTCCAGTGAGTATCTTAGTGACCATTACTTTAAATTATCTATCAGGCATATTACTTATCTCCTTTTCATTTAGCTCTGTTGCTTGTGATTTTGTCTTGTTCTTTTATTTGGGACATATTCCTCTGTCTCATTTTGTCTAACTCTGTCTCTGTTTCTATGTGTTAGGAAAGTCAGCTCTTTGTCTTCTGCTCTTGAAAGTAGTGGCCATATGAAGAAGAGGTCCTGTAGTGTCCTGAGTGCAGTGTCCTCTGCTCACCAGAACCTGGTGCTTCAGGGGTGTCTCCTATGTGTGCTACGCACCCTCCTGTTGTGGCTGAGCCACGTTTGCCTTCAGTCCAGTCATCTGCAATGGTTCCCTTTGCTTGTTGGCAAGCTTTAGTCCCTATATTTTTACGGGCCAGTCTGGGGCTACTTTAGGCTTGATTGGGTCAGGGTGGGTGTTTGTCAGAGATGTATTCACAGTGAACTGAAATGGCTCTCCCGGTGTTGTCCCCTGGGAAGCTTTCATTGGTAGGCAGGGCTGGCAGTCGGATTAGATGTGTGCCTTCACCCCATTACTTTAGCTGCTTTGGAGAATTCCTGTTGTGGGTGGGTTGGAATGGGCAGATCTGGAGAATTCAGGAGTGGGGTGTGCTGTTAGCAAGGTAGGTGGAACATGTTCATCCTGGGCTGATTCCCTCAAATGTTGGGTATCTGGGCTGGGGGCCAGAGGAGGGAAATGGCACTGCCAGCTCTTTTGTTCTTGGAGAAGTCTCCTAAAGATCCCTGTCCCTCTAGCACACATTCTGAGATTAGTAAATAAATCTTCCTGTATACTCCAGGCCTTTTTCAAATTACTGCTTCTATGCTGTATCTTAGCAGGGTTGGTTGTTATGCTCTCTCCTTAAGGGCAGGGACTGAGTTTCCTATCTACATTTGTCTCTCCCAGAGCCCAGTTGGCTGATTTTTTAAGGTTCCAGGTGTTAAGCCCCACTGATTATAAGAACTCACAGTGTTAAGTCTCTCTGTTTTCAAAGCCATATGTTATAAAGGGGATTCTTCTTTCCAGTGCAGTTCTCCGGTACCTGTGGTGCCTGGGGTGGGGTCTGCTCCTCTCCTCTGTCCAGTGGCTGCAGTGTCCCTCCTGTGGACAGTCCCATGGGTCAGTTTGGTTCATGGCCATGTCTCCACCCTTCGTGCTCTTTTTGATGTGGCCTCTTCTCTACATTTAGCTGTGGAGAGTCTGGGTCATTTTCTGGGTGATTTACAGTGATGTGGGTATTATCTAGGTATATCCATGGGAGGAGGTGAGCTTAGGATACTCCTACTCCACCATCTTCCTGGAAGTCCAAGATTTTTTTTTTCTTTTTCACTGTAGGCATTTACTGCTATACATTGCCCTGTGAAGACAGCTTATGTTGCACTTCCTAAGTTTTGGGTTTTTGTATTTTTCATTTTAGTTCATTTCTAAGTGTTTTCTAAATTTCCTTTTTATGTCTTCTTTGACTCATTGGTTTGTAAAAAATATATTGTTTACACATATTTGTGAATTTTATAGTCTTCTTCTGGTATTGCTTTCTAGGTATATTCTCTTGTGGTTTGAGAAGATATTTTGATGTTTTAATTCTTTTAAAATTTATTTCGAGTTGTTTTTGGCCTAACATAGTGTCAGTCCATGAGGATATTCCATGTGCCCTTGAGAAGGAAGTGTATCCTACTATAGTGAGGTGGAGGGACTACATGTTTGGTGGGTCTGGTTGGTCTGTAATATTGTTCAAGTCCTTATTGTTGTTTTCTTACTGATCTGCCTGGGTGTTCTGTCCATTCCGGAAAGCTCTTCAGTTATTATTGTTGAGCTATTTCATTCTGCATTTCCGCCAATGCTTGTTTATGTATCCTGAGGCTCTGTTTTATCTATACTTTTAATTATCTTTTGATGAATTAACCTTTTTAATATCAGTATTTATCGTTCTTTGTCTCTTTTAACAGTTTTTGACTTACCACATTTTGATTGCAAAATTGTGGTAATCAGTCCTTCCTTATCAGTGATTTAAGTGTAAATAAATTAAACTCACCAATCAAAAGGCAGATGTTGGTTTTAAATTTTGAGTTAATATTCAAGCAATATACTAATTTCCTGTTGGGAATTACCCAGTGCTGTGGGCTTGCTGACATTGCATTGGTAGAAAATGACTGAGCAGTAAAACTGTATGACAAAGGAATGAAGCTTTTTTTTTTTTTTTTAATAGTACTGGTACCTTAATCTCTTTATGGCTATATTAGATTCTGTGATATTAACTTTATTTTTGTCATTACCACTAAACAAAATCTGACTTACTGCACTGCCCTCTGGGCCATAATAAGAATTTTTTTACATGCTTTAAAGACTTGCAGTTCTGTTTCATTTCAAATTCCTGACATTCAACAGATGGATCACTATTGCTATCAGGAAAGTTTGTCACAGTTAAACATTTTAAAGAGATGGGGAGCGTGCAGCCTTTGAAGTTGTAGACTTGTACATTTGTGTTCTGGTTGCATTTGTGTGAATCTTCAGTAAGGTGTTTACTGTCTCTGGCTTTTTTCCTCATCTGCAAAATGGGGATAATGATGCCTATTCACTGGATGGTTCTTTAATTAAGTCAACAAATATTTGAGGGTTGGGGGCACCTGGGTGACTCAGTCTTTAAGCTTCTGCCTTCAGCTCAGGTCATGATCCCAGGGTCCTGGGATCGAGCCCTGCATCGGGCTCCCTGCTCCGCAGGAAGCCTGCTTCTCGCTCTCCCACTCCCCCTGCTGGTGTTCCCTCTCTCTGTGTGTATCTCTCTGTCAAATAAATAAATAAAATCTTTAAAAAAAAAAAAAACAAATATTTGAGGGCGAATTATGTGCCAGTCACTATGTTCTTGAGAGTACAGTGCTGAGTGGAACAAGGTTTCTGCCCTCTGGTTGTTGTGAGCCCAAAAGGAGTTAGTGTGTGGAAAGCACGTGCTCGTGCCCTAGCACTTACTAATCTTGTTGGCTTCTAAATCTTTGAGTTTTTGAAAAACTTTTGATATAGTTCTTGTGTTTGCTTGTTCCATTGTTTTTACTTCTGTCTCTAGTTTAGACTTGTTTTACATTCGTAGATTATAATCTGCAAATATAATTTTCCTAAAATCTCATTTAAGTCTTTATTTCTCTGCCATTTCAAAAACCTTAAGTGGTTCCACATCCTGCCTCACTACAGCTGAATGTTTTTGCCTGATTTTCAGGATCTCTGTAATGTGATCACTGAGCAAATTTACTGTTCTTCAGTAATAATAAACAATAACTGATATTTGTTGAGGATTTACTATGTGGCTAGCACTTTTTAAAAAAAGATTTTATTTATTTATTTGAGACAGAGCGAAAGAGTGGGGGAAGAGCAGAGGGAGAGGGACAAGCACACTCCCTGCTGAGCTCTGAGCCCAACTCAGGTCTGGATCTCGTGACCCTGAGATCATAACTTGAGCTGAAACCAAGAGTCAGACACTTAACTGACTGAGCCACCCAGGCACCCCTATGTGGATAGTGCTTGCAAGAGTTTTATTTGTAGTATTTCTTTATCTTTGTAACTGTAATTTTATTATCCTTTTTTAAAATTCAGAACTTTTTATTTTTGAATGAAAAAAGTAGGGTACATGGGGTGCCTGGGTGGCTCAGTCAGTTGAGCGTCTGACTCTTGATTTTGGCTCAGGTCCTGATCTCAGGGTTATGGAATCAAGCCCCACGTGGGGGCGCTGCACTTAGCAGGGAGTCTGCTTGAGATTCTCTCCCAGTGTCCTTTCCCCCACTCACGTGTGCTCCCTCTCTAAAATAAATATGTAAATCTTTTTTAAAAAGTGGGGTACAAAGTTAATATGCACAGGATCATGCAGCTAGGAAGTGTCAGAGGCTTGACTTTAATAATTCAGTCTCAATAACTAGTATTTTTAGTTACCTGTCTTTATGCCTGTACCTCCATTTGAATATCACCGTATCTTCTTTTCCATTTTCTTCTCGAAGCTTTGCTTTGGTTACTCTTTCTAGGAATTCCTTTTTCCATTTGTACACCTTCTATTCCCATTTCCCCTTTATTCATACACACTGTCACTCCCACCTCTGGAGATTCTGTTTATAGGTCACCTTCCTCTCATGGTAGGGATTATTACTGAGTGTTTTCTATATCTTATCTCATGAGAAGCATGTAATACATTACTGTTGTAACTTTTGATTTCTTCTAAAAAAATTTTAAGGGAATTGAAGTTTTCTTAGCTAGACTAATAATTTGTCATATAGCCTTAACCTAAAATCTTTTTATGTATCTTTAACAAATTCATAGTATGAGTGATTTTTTGATAGTTCATAGAAGAATATTGTAGGACAGGCTACATTGTAAGGCTTTAGAAGGAAATACAAATTTAATAAAATTTCTTTTAATGAAAGTCATTTTTATTAGGTGTCTGAACTCAGGACAGGAGCTGCAGAAGGACTAGCCAAGCTGATGTTCTCAGGGCTCTTGGTCAGCAGCAGGATTCTTTCTCGTCTTATCTTGTTATGGTACAATCCTGTGACTGAAGAGGATGTCCGACTTCGACATTGCCTAGGCGTGTTCTTCCCCATGTTTGCTTATGCGAGCAGGTATTTAGTTATATTGATAAATCCGAATCTGACTTGAAGTTAAATTCAGGCTCCCCATGAGTCCTATCTATAAATATAATTTTGTTATTGTTCCTTTTTTTCCAGTGGTTAGTAATGAAAATGAGAACTTACCTAGATTTTATTTACCTGAATTATTTGTCTCTTTCCTAGATGAAAATATACTGTATCTTGATGGGGTGAATTTTATACTTTTTTTTTTTTTTTTTTTTTGAGAATCCTATGCCTTTTCTTTGCTCACATACTTTTCAAATTGTTTTTCAATAGGACTAATCAGGAATGTTTTGAAGAAGCCTTTCTTCCAACTCTGCAAACACTGGCCAGTGCTCCTGCATCTTCTCCTTTAGCTGAAGTAGATATCACTAATGTTGCTGAGTTACTTGTAGATTTGACAAGACCAAGTGGATTAAATCCTCAGGCCAAGAATTCACAAGATTATCAGGTGGGTGGGTATGTTAGCCTGTGGATGGTAAGGATGTTGACTATCATACAGGTCACTGTTGTTTTTGATAAAATAATCCTTTTCATAGGTTCTTAGAAATAGAGGCCACGGTTTGATCTTGAGATTTCTGGTCTATATGGTGGCACATAACACAAAGGAAGCAAAGATCTTTTGGGAAATGTGATAATCATATAAAGATAGAAATAATTTGCTACTGAAATTCAGAACTTAGCAAAAATTCATCTCTCTCACTACCCCCTCCCAACCTAGTGCTGGCTATATTAAACATTCTGAAAAATGTCCTATGTTTATCTAGGACTCATTGAATCTTCAAACGTTGGCTTATCTGCTTTGTTTCTGATACAAGGAAGGAGAATTCAAAGAATGAATTGGTCACCTCAAGCTCATTTTTGTTTTTAATTCAAAGAAGATAAGTTAACTGCAAACTGTCCCATAAATTAAACTTAAGCTGGGTTTTGGATCCTTTAACTTAATCATTTAATTAAACTTGTTACCATATTGAAAATTAATGTGTTATTAATGATTTCAGATGCCAGCTAATTAAGTTGAAAGTATAGCTTTTTAATTTAATTTTTTTAGTGACTGCATACTCCATTCAAGTCATTATGTTACATGTTATTGGAAAGATGATTACAAAGGATATTAAGGCAAAATATAGTAAGGGTAGGTGATAGAGCTACTAAGTGCTTAGGACTTAAGAAGAAGGCAGGGTTCATGTAGTAGGGGTGATGAGTACAGCATTACTAATAAAATTCACTTCGGTCTTATTGGGAATAAAAAAGACTTTAGGTAAAAGTGATTAAATGTAGCTGGTTGTCCAAGTCATGCAGGGGACTGTGGAAGAATCATTCTGGCTAAGGAGCCAGAATGGCCCTGTTGAGGGCAGAACATTAAGGTGTAGGGAATTTGGAGTTGGCCGTATTTGCCATAATGATGTAGGGTATATATTGAAAGGCTTAATGGGATGAAAATTACCTATTAGGAAGATCAGTTTGGTGGTCAGTATCATTATATGAGGTGAACTGGTGTAGGGTATATATTGAAAGGCTTAATGGGATGAAAATTACCTATTAGGAAGATCAGTTTGGTGGTCAGTATCATTATATGAGGTGAACTGGTGAGAGGAATAGAGAGTGAATATTAAGGGAGCAGTTGGAAATCTGTATAATTAAGAGATAAAAAGCTTGTAGAAAAAAGATGATAGCAATAGAAAGTAGAAAGAAAAGAATAGTAGACAGTGACATGGAAAAAAAAAAGATGGGTATAAAGACATGAAGAAAGAACTTAGGGAGGCAAGGAAGATGGAGTCCAACCAAGATAACTCTTAAGGTCCTGAGTATGGGTTACAGAGGACTTCAAAGAAGCTGTTGACATCTTTTAATTGCAGTTTTCTCCTGATCAACATCCTGGAGGAGTGAGGGAAGTAGGTTGGGGCAGAGGAAGAACTTGAACTGTCATGCAGTCTTAAAGCCCCAGCTCATCCCACAGGAAGCTCCAGAACTGGGATAATCCCTTGAGTTGCTCAGATGGAGACAAGGCTGGGCTGTTGTACCTGCGTATCTTCCAGCCACTGAAGGAGGACTAACGTGGCAGGCCCCACTGTCTCCAGCCTGGATCAGTTCTGCACCTGAGAACTTTTAGCCTCCAGAACTCAGAGTAGCTGGAGATGATTGCTTCATTCATGAAGGGGGTGGATCTGGACCCTGTACCACAGGACCCTCTATAAGAAGAGGGGGGGAGTTCAGTTTGGGAGGAATATGTTAAATTTGGATTTAGACATTTTGCATTTGAAATTATGGCAAGATAATTAGTTGGAAATGTTTGTTAGATATGTAGGAACTATATTGTAATACCATTTCCAGTTTACAAAACCTTTTTCTCTTGATTTTCTAGGCCTTATCAGTTCATGACAATTTGGCTATAAAAATTTGCAATGAGATCTTAACATGTCCATGTTCACCAGAAATTCGGGTCTATACGAAAGCCTTGGGTTCTTTAGAACTCAGTAGCAATCTTGCTCAAGATCTTTTGGTTCTATTGAATGAAATTCTGGAGGTAAAGTGGTTTCTAATTACTCTGTATATAAATTACTGTGAACAAATTTTTTATTAAAGTAGAATTTATGTGGTTGTATTAAATTATTGTTGTATTAAATACATTACATGGTTGTATTAAATTATACATATGTCGGCAAATTGTGTCTGCTCATTTGAAGTAAATATTGCCTTCATAAGTTTAATAGAATTTTTTAAATGTTTTTAAACATCTTGATATCCATATATAGCTTTTCTGAAAGAAGATTAGAAAATGCTGCATTAAAAAACATTAATGATGTTTTCTATTATAGCAAGTAAAAGACAGGACATGTCTGAGAGCTCTGGAGAAAATCAAGATTCAGTTAGAAAAAGGAAATAAAGAGTATGATGACCAAGCAGTAGCAGCACAGGATGCCAACATGACTATGACTGCTTTTCAAATTGAAGATGGTAATCACATACTAACCTGAGTATTTGTAAGATTCTGTCCTTTGAATCTTTTTTTTTTTTTTTTAAAGATTTTATTTATTTATTTGACAGAGAGATTGACAGCGAGAGAGGGAACACAAGCAGGGGGGGAGTGGGAGAGGGAGAAACAGGCCTCCCGCGGAGCAGGGAGCCCGATGTGGGGCTCGATCCCAGGACCCCGGGATCATGACCTGAGCCGAAGGCAGACGCCCAACGACTGAGCCGCCCAGGGGCCCCTGTCCTTTGCATCTTAAAGAGGCACTTTTTTTTCCTCCTCTAGCATGTGGTTGGATTTCAGAAATGAAAGAAAAATGTTTCTCATTAATTCCCTTGGAAAGTGTATTACTGATAAATGTTTATTCTACTTTCGTAGTTTTTTTTTATGTGTACATTTTTCACCATAGGACCATGCATACTGTCTCAGGTTTCGTTTGCTTTCCAGTATTCATGCTTTTTGGGACACCGGTTTATGATAATTTTCAGTAGCTGCTGATGGTACTGTTGTCATTTCTGTTTTATGAAAAATTGACTTGGAAAGGCCATTTAAAATGTTTAATGAAGCTTTTTAAAATTTACATTGTTGTGTCATTTCCTTTAATAGAAAAAAGTAAAGAAGCATATAAAACTCCTCTCAGGGATGTAAAAGCAACCCGAGCATCAAAATCCACTCAGCAGAAGACTAACAGAGGTAGTATATGGATCTTTATAATAAAACTTTTCAATTTTGTTTTCCAGTGAAATGCTCACTTTGCAAGTTTCCTTGTTGATAAAGATTTTTAAGTGTCTCAGGTATCCTTTATTTTCAGTTCTTAGAGCTGATACTAGGTTTTGCTTTGTGTCTAGAAGATTCTAATACTAGTGTTGCTCCAAGTGCTTTTGATTGAAAGAGTTTTGATGCAATGTATCATGTTGCAAAGGACTATTTGGGTTAAATTAAGATTTTTTTTACCAGATGATCAAGGATGATTTTCTATTATTAGCTGGTTATATTCTGTCATTTATATGATTAAGCATTTTGAAAACCTTTTATCCCTGTAGTACTTGTCTGGGCTTCTGTTTTCCTTTTTCCCATTTCATTTCATCATTTTTCAACATCATTTATTTCCCAAGGGGTATCCAACAATAGGGGATTTGTTGGAATAAAGAAAATGTTGACAATTAGGGGATCACTTGGAAAAAAATCTGAAATTCAACATCTTTTTATTGTTTTATTATTATTACAAAAGCAATTCATGCTTATTACAGAAGAATCAGAAAATACATGCAAGCAAACTAATATAAAGAACGCTAATCATCCCACCCATGAGCCAACCATTATTTTAATTCTTAAAAAACAATTTTGAGGCCCTATGCAGATTTAATTTTTTTCTAAATGGAATCTGGCCATAATATTTTTGTAGACAATCACTTATTCACATGCTTATTGTTGGGTATTGTTCCAAATTAGTCCCATATTGTTGGATGTTTTCTTGGGGCTAGCTGCATTATGAGCAAATATGTAAGGTTGTGGAGAAAAACAGTTAAGTCTTACATGAATAATAAATAGGGTATATAAATTTCAACCAAATGTTCATACTGAGCAATTTGATCAGATTCTTATCATAAATGAGGGAGCATCATGGGCTAAACTTTATCTTCTTAACCTTGGAAGTTTCTAGCAAGTAGAATTTTGCAACCTTCAGCATATTGTTAGAAGGTCTAGTTTTTATACTGAAAAATGTTTTATAACACATACTTGAATTGGCCATGTATACATTTGAATATTTTGTAAGAAGCCATTACCTTACTGATTAAAGCTCTCTCTCCCGGGTCTGCTGATGGGCATACCCCACTTTTCTCCCCTTAATTTTCATTAGTTTCTCCGCAGGTCATGTGCTATAGCAGAAGTACTTCTCTTTACATAGCATGTTTTTCACATTCTTCTTTCTCCCAAATATATTTAACTAAAATTTGCCTCCTTATAATTTGATTTCCATATTTTCCTTTGCCTATTACCCAAGCTTACAAAAGAATAAATGGCTGGAAACTAGGAAGAAATTTGTTGCAGAGGGAAAATGAAGGATTTGGGTAGGTCAGAAAATAGAAACAGTCAGCAATTGAGAATAAATTTTGATAATGAATTATATACTGTCTTGAAGGACGGAGAAAAGTGACAGCTTCAGCTAGGATGAACAGGAGACGTCAGACTGTGGAGGTTGACTCTGAAAGGTATGCCATGTACATCTAGAAAATGGATGTGGTGTTTTTTGGGGGTTTTTTTGGTCTAGGAGTAGCAAAGAAATTGTAGTTTGCTAACACTGTGAAGGAGAGAAACTCAGTATGTGTAAGATACTCAGTGAAAACTGTAAATGACAAGGTCTTGGATATATATAGTCTAGAATTCCATTATCAAGAGCATTTGACGTCCCATGTCTTGTGTGCTTTTCCTACTGGGATGGCCCGTAGTCTTAGGTGGTCATCTTTAATATGTCCTTTCAGTTTATATATCCATGTATGCTTCTAACTACATGATTGTGTGTATGGCTCTCCGATCTTGAATTAGCAAACTCTTAAAGGATTTAGATTTGGGTTCTTAGCATTTATAAGCAGGATTACTCTATCATTGTAAATTATATATTATTTGTCGTGTAGTGTTTATTTTTAGATTCTGCCAATTAAGCCACTGTCGTAAGCTGAAAGTTTGTAGTTGCCTTGTGTTCATCTATTGGTAAAATTGTAATGTGTGTATTTTCAGTATATAGCTTTAGGTTAAGTTTTGACTAAATTTAAAATGTTTTTTGGAAACCTGCTCTTTACAGAGTGTTTTAAGAATGTATTACCTAAATTAAGAGAATGTAAGATGTTTTTTCACTTTGTGTTGTCCTCCAAAATTCTTTTGGGCAGTTGTTCTGTTTAATCACTTCATTACAAAATGTTTTTCCTTATAATACCAGGTTCCATATAGAAATAAAAAGCAATTAGCTAGGTTTTCCATGATTTACTTGGCAGGATAGCCAATAAGTCTTTTTTGGTTTTAGTTTTAAAAACTTAGTAAAATCAGGATATCAATTACACACTGATAAAATGACAGAAACAAAAAGTTTTATTGATAAATAAACTTGTTTTAAAGCTTGTATTTAAATTGGTGTATTTTCAACATCCATTTAGTGACCCTGAAATTCCAGAGCCAGAATCAGAAATGAAGATGAGATTGCCAAGACGAGCCAAAACAGCAGCACTAGAAAAAAGTAAACTTAACCTTGCAGAGTTTCTCAATGAAGATACAAGTTAGAAGAGATGATGGAGGTGAAGTCCTTTTAACCATGTCCTTTAAAATTATGTTCAGTTTTCTGCTTTAATAAAGTTACCCTTGTATCAAAATCAGAAAATGCCTGATAGCTTGTAGGACTTTGTGCTGTGTGACTCCACGTTACTTTGGCCTTTACTGAAACATTAGGACAGCACCTGGCTGGCGCTCCACAGAAGCCTGCAGCGGACCCGGGGGTGTAACCAGCGTCTAAGGTGGGCCTAGGAACCTGCTTCGCAAATCGGCTTCTCAGGTGATGCGTGAACTCTCACATTTAGTATATGGCATTCTGGACAGCTTCTCAGTGTAACTAGCTAGTAGCTTGCATTTGAGAAGCTTGTGATTTAGATAGGGCACATCCAACATAGATGAGAACACTTCAGAACACATTTAAAAAGGGACATCTCAAGGGCAAATGAAGTACCACAAACTGGCTAGAAAGGAGCTTGCTTACCTTCAGGGAGGAGGACTACTACAATGACTCCAAAGTTCCCAGCATCTAAGCTGAACAGTTATTTTGATAATTTTGTGATTCTTACACTAAAAACATTTTGGTAATGCTATCTGAATGGATAATTTCTCTTCTTACAGTATTTGCATATGAGAGCTCTAGTTTTCCTATGTTTCTGATGGCATTTCTTGGGTTAGGAGATGTTCACATGTACTTTTTTTTTTTTTTAAGTAATCTCTACATCCAATATGGGGCTCGAACGCATGGCCCAAGATCCAGAGTCACATGCTCTCTCTACTGACTGAGCCAGGCAGTGCCCGCACTTTCACATGTTAATTATGGAGTTGCTTTCTATGTTTTTGGCATAACAAAATAAATACTGTGGATAATAAAAGACAATTCTAGTAGGAAAAGCATGACAGAAGTCCTTTATATACTAGTTTATGAGCACTGTTTCTTCATTGTCAATCTCATTTTTCTTCCCAAATTGGCACTTGCCTCAGTTGTGGAATGGATATGAACTCAGTCCTCTTTCCGTCTGCAACACCCAGCAAAACATGTTTTCTTATCCCTCTGATTACCTTTTCTCTTTATTATCCAGAATAGAAATGTCCTAACACTGGATTTGTTTTATTAATAATTGTGCTTTTTAAGATTTATTTAGGCCATTTATTTAAGGTGATGTTCTAAGAGCTAAATTAAAATCGTTGTGCTTTTTAGAACCAAATTGCTATATTACATAATATATGTGCTTTATAAAACTCAGAAATATAAAAGGAGTCTGAAAGTTACAAAGTAAGAATGCTTACTAAGCAAAAGGAAAAGGCAGATGTGGTCGTAAAAACAACAAAACATAGATGATTGTTTTTCATTCTGTTGGCTCTGTGTCTTCCTGTGCTTTAAATCCCTTTTGTAAGTCTTACTTTGTTAAATCCCTGTCACTGTAAAAATAATTTTTTGGGGTGAGGGGTAGGGAGAAATAGGACTTAAAGTGTACACAGAATGTGCTATAAGGAAAAGTGTTTAGAAACACCATAGACTGAATCCCATGTACCCCACAGCCAGGCCATCCAAAGGGAAGGAGCCCTGTTCTTATATACTTCCATGGGCCACCGTACCAGAGCTTTTTTCCTCTGGCATGGGAAAAACAAATTTAAGCACCAAACCTTTAGTGTTCTTACTATTCAAGTTTTAGACACAATCACGTAGCCATTGCTGAAGCTATGCTTTTGCACTATTATAGTTAAAGGTAAGGAATTTTATCCTGATTTTAAAAGAAAGACATTTTACACTGAAATGGCTAAAATACAATCAAATCAAGAGATGTAAATCCATTTACCATTTTTTCATTCAAAACTGATAACTTACACCAAACAGTATTCTTGTCTGCAAGAGGCACAGCTTTGCTGAAGAGTAAACATGCAATTGTGCCATTGATCTTACAGCCCACAGATTTTATAGGTTTAAAAGTACAGAGAAAGAACCGATCAGCTCAAATTCTATGAATGAAAACATGCTACTTGGTGATAAACTATGATCAATTTTTCTATACATATATAACTTTGAAAGAGAGATACTTCTAAGAGATACCTTTGCCTTTTACCAGTTTGCTTCGAGGTAGTTGGTATCCACCTATTATACAACTGTTAATGGTCAGGTCATCACAAATCTTTACAATACTAGCCTTCTAAATCACATAATGCAGTATATATTAAAACTTTGTGCACAGAAATAAAACTGGGGATAATTATGTATTTAAACTTAGGGCATAAAAAAATTCACAAAATACCTTTAAAAAGAGAAACATCAAAATCCATTTGTACTGCAAAATTCCACAACGGTCCGGTGTAAAACGTAAAAAAACATACAAAGAATCTAATCCAAATGATTAATGCTAATGATTATATTTAATATAAAGACATCACAGGACTAGAAATATTTCAAGATCAATTGATAAATGCAGAAAGAATACTGATGTACAAAATAAGGACAGTGCAAGAAGAACTGCAATCTATTTCTCTTCACTTCTGAGGTTTTGGTTATGAACTGTACAGCTCGCTAGAGGAGATGCTGTCAAATTCAGATTCCATTCAGTGGGGCGATTAAGGCACATCTTAATGGGGCTCACAGGGCAACTTGCTGTATTCCCATCGGACAAATTCAGTTTCTCATCAGTTTTCATTTGTAGCATGCTGGAAAAAAAAGTGCAAAGCATTTAGTGTTACTTTAACTTCAAAGAAATTATCAACCTTGTAAAAGAAAATTCAGTCATTTTTATTGTTTGGACCTCTAAACAGAGTAGATAGGGCATTTTATTACCCTGAAAGTATGAGAGTTTTGTTCTGTTTCTTAGCTCCAGCCTCCTTACTGAACTGAATATATTACATATAGCCAGGTACTTAAGGCGTCACCCAGGTAGCGCTGGCCAACAAAACCACTGTGTATGTGGATTCCATAAGTACACTCATGACATTTAACCTACTGAACTTGGCAGGATTCAACCCTTTTCATTTGTCCTTTAACTTACCAGGATCAGAGCCACTTTGAGACAAGAAGGAATTAACCTTTGTTTGAAAGTCTACCATGTTCTAGGCACATTCACATGTATTATCTCATTTAAATTTCATAACAACCAAGCAAGGTTGGTATACTTATCCTGATGATAAACAATAAAAGTGAGTCTCAGACTCAAGTACAAATATGTCTGAAGTTATAGAGTCACCCAACGAATTGGAATACGGTCCTTCCTCTTTCCCTTATGCTTGTCTACTAGCTCTCTGATGAGAATCTTTAGAAACAGAAACTTGAGTCCAAAGGGTAGCTAGTCCACATGTAATGGACATGTAGTCCTGAATCTTAAATAATATTCATGATAGTCTATTCACGTTTTCAGATGTGAATCCTTATGTTTATAAACTAATAGCTTGCTGTACAGTAGCTCATTTGATGCTTAACTGATTAGTTTGGTTGGACTACATCATTCCTAACCTTTCTCCAATGACAGATCTAGGATTCTTTCTATTAGTGAAGAGGAAATAGGCATGTAGTATTTAAGTGACTTGTTACAAGTGGCAGCTTCCTCCAGACCTCAGTAGCATTTTCCTGATCTTTCCTTGCAACGTCAAAAACGGGACTCATTTGCCATTCAATAAACCAGAGAGTTTAACCTGTTATAGCATATTTCAATGGCTATCATGTTGCCACTGAGTTCTCCCCAGGCAAATGGTCCCAGTTTCACTGAATAACATAGTTTCAGCTTCATAGATATGAAGCAAAATGACAAACTACAAGTAGCTTAAAAGGTTACTCATCAAAAATAGAAAATCACTTAAAAAGCCAAAAAACAGAGGTGAATACAAAAGAATATATTTAAAGTAGGTCATGGCCTGATAAATGACAAAGAGATCCAAAATACAATATTCTCATTCATATCAGAAATCTTAACTGATTTTTGAAAATATTTGCATCGGTTACTATTATTAGACTGATGGCCTCATGGACCTCAAGATTTTTTGTTTTTCAAGTTAGCAAAGCTCAGATAAAGCAGTAATGTTTTTCCTTCTTCCAAGGACTGCTAGCCTTTGTATTTGTATTATTTGCATATATACCTCTGAGAAATCTAAGGCAAGCTATAAAAATACAAATATACTTATTAAGATAGCTTGGTAGATCAAGTATCAATGCCAAAAGAAGATGATGGCATGAAGCAACAAATGGTGATAAAAACAATTTTTGCTAAAAAAAACCTAAAAGACCCCGATTTTTGCTGTTTGATTGACAAAGGTATATTTATCAGAGAATAATACTTTAATAACTACATTGTTCTTTTTAAGACCTTCAAAAACATTAAAGTTACTTTTCTAGAGAGTGTACTCCAAATTTGGGTACACAAACTCCAGGAGTGCACAAAACTATACACATGCATGGGAAGAAAATTCCAGTTTTAAAAGAACTATATGTTAGTACTAATACACAGATTGACATACTTAATTCATAAATATACACTTAAAACTCGGTATGCAAAGTTTGGGGCTACTAATCTATAGAATACTAAGAGTAGAAGAATATAGCTATCTTCAAGTGCTAGAAACAGAGGCATTAGAACAATAGAGCTAGAAGGGACCTTTCTAGACACCACCCACCCACCCCTTTTTTAAGATGGGGAAACTAAGGTATAGGAAAATAGAAAAATAAAATAAACTTCTTTTCTCAGAGTGTTCCAATCAGATGTATGTGGACTAATATAAGAACCTGGATCTCTTAAGTAATCTAGTAATAACCAAAGCACTTCTCAATTCCATTTTCTGTACCAAATTATTTAACATTGGGTACCCACTAGAATGCACCTTTCAGGTACAAAGATGAGGGAGCATACACAGTGCATGCTTTCAAAGAATTTGCAATCTAGAATTTTTAATAATCCTTTATATTTGGAAATTGAAAAATTGACTAGTTAGGTTTAATGTCAGGAATTTGTAGTACAATCATACACATTTGTACTAAATGAAAGATTAAATATTCCTCAACTTTTTTTTTTTTTTTTTAAAGTATCTCTACACCCAGTATGGGGCTTGAACTCACGATCACAAGATGAAGAGTCCCAAGCTCTACTGAACAGAGCTAGCCAGGTACCCCCTCAAATTTTCTTGATGTACTTTTTAAACTTTTTATTTTGTATGTTTTAAAAATGAAGTTGAATACTCTTGTATGTGTCTGTATTCAACTGTATCTATAGGGTTGATGTCTAGGAATAGGATAA